GCAAAGAAGATGGATTCGAATTTACCCAAGCTAGCTTAAGTTTCTTCACATTTTCTAGACTTTGTTGAATTATACTTTAAGCCTTTACTTTTTATAATCAGTTTTTAATGATGGGCAAATATCTAGAAAAAGACAACTGTTCTAAAATTTGACTCTCAGACAATTTATAAAGTTATTCAAAAACTGAATAGTTTGCTTGCTCCCTAAGTTTTGAAAATGATAAGCAGTATCAAATATTTCTATAAAATGTTTTGAACTTAAGCTGGAAAAATAATAAAGTAATTGGGGTAGTTATCACAATAAGACTGACATTTTATCTCTGCTGCCAAGTTTGATGACCCTAGTTTTGTTAGACTGTGAGCAACCATCAACTTTTAAGGATGCAGCCAAAGTTAACAGATTCACCATTCTTAAGGATAATGAGGTAAGGGAAAGAGATCCATTAATATTTAATTTAGTTTCCAGAAAAGCACTTGTTAAATATGGAGTTTGACTTCTTTTTATAAAAGATCTCGGATGTTAATGAAAAAAGTTGACGTGCAAAATGCATAAAAAGGTAGTTATTAGAGAATATATATTTTTAAACAATTAAGTTATGATTCTTTTACCTGCTAAAACAAAAAAATATATTAGGAAAAAATATATCAAATAGTGAATAAAAAAATCAACATATTAGAAACTGATAGTATAATGAAACTAGTCTAAACCAAGACAGAGGGAGACACATTTACAGAGACAATGGGAAGAAAAGACCTTTTAAAAGGAAGGGCACTTTGGATCAGTGTCAAGCAAGATAATCAAAGGCCTGATAAATTTTTTACAGAATAGATTGATAATTACATTACTCCTCATCTAGCACTATGACATAAAGACACTGAAAATGAACAACAGATTATCCATAGACAAATCCCATACAATCTAAGTCCCTAAGTGGTTAATTTGTGAAATTATGTCACAAAGTAAATTGAGTTAAAAATAGCTATAAACTAACTTTATGTACACAAAGTAAAAAACAAAACATATGTAGGCTCTTAGAAGCATATGTTTAAAGTACTATTTTATTTTAGTATCTCTTCATTTGAGAATGTTAAGTTTGCAGATAACTTCTAATTGAAGTTAAAATAATCCTAAATGTTAAAGAGCTACTTCGAGGAAAAAGAAAACTATACTTGCAAACTATTCTGCTTCCTCAATTCCCCATAAATTTAAAAAGCACTGGAATGTTAGATTTTTAGTTTAAAGATCACTTAGGTGGTTAAGTTTAAGATGACTGTTTTGCTATTTAACTGGCACATATGAGCTATATAATTCTTCAAATTTTAAAGTACTGACATTCAAACTACTTCCATGGATATGCTATTTTTCTTTAATCTTTAGGTTGTACACTTTTATATTTGCTTGCATTTATTTGAAACTCTAAGAGGAAGCTTTATGATCTATAAAAGTAAACAGAAACACCTAAAGAGACATAGCTTTTGGCATAATATAAGCATCTGGTATATTTGATTACAGATGTTTGTTAGGATCAATGTTAGGGAGAGAGGCAACTAGAATTTCTGCATAGCAAAAATATGAAAAGAAGACAAAATCATGAATTTTTGTGATTAATATGATCTAAGAAGAACAACAAACTGAAGACTTTCACTTGCTGCAACCTTCTCAGTACAGTGTTAGAAAGAGTATTTATACAAGGGGGACGTCCGAGTACAATAAATAGGAAATTGACATCAGTTACCTAAAACTTTAAGCTTATTTTTTAAAAGTACATGTTTCCCTATGTAAAATTATAACAACATTTGCTACAAGTCTCCTGGATAGGGTTGGTCTGAAAATTTTCAAAGAATTTCTTGAATGAAAAGTTCAGAAATGGCCCAGCTGGTGTGACTCAGTTGAGTGACCTTTGAACCAGGAGGTCATGGTTCGATTCCAGGTTAGGGCACATGCCTGGGTTGTAGGCTTGATCCCCAGTAGGGGGCATGCAGGAGGCAGCCAATCAATGATGCTCTCTTATTACTGGTGTTTCTATCTCTCTCCCCCTCTCCCTTCCTCTCTCTAAAAATCAATTAAAAAATCTTAAAATACTATAGGGAAATAATGATCTTTTAAAGTTATGCAAAAGGATTTAAAAACATGACATGCAATTATGGTTATGGTGATTATTATGAGATTCAATTTGACCACATATTGAGGACTGAATTGTTTTCTGTATATTCATTCCAGAAATATTTATTGAGTGGCTACTGTGTGCCAGACACTGTTTTAAGCATAGGTATAATTTTTTAAGTGACAAATTTGGTTCCTATTTCTGGTGAAAATAAAAACTCACTAAATTTTATAATCTAAATAGTCCTGCACTCAAATAATCATGCTTATAGTTTTTCATCTTCTTGGTTAAATAAAAAAAAAGGTAAAATAAAACAAAAACATTCACTCAACTAAAAAATTAGTTCTAAAACTCGATGGTAAATAGTGGCTATCTCTGGGATTGCAAGAAATTTTATGTACTGTTTTTGTTCATTTGTATTTTATACAATGAAATTTACTACCTATATAATAAAGATATTTCTATTTAAAAGTAGGGGTTTTTTTTCCCCTTTTTTTCCATCACTATCTATCCCTCCATACCCTCCTCCATCTCCACTCAACTCATTCTCCCCATCCCCTGCAATCACCACCTGTTGTCTGCATTGAGTTCTTTTTTTTTCCATTTTTACTCAATCCCTCCACCCTCCCAGCCCACCTTCACCCCCCAGACAGCCTGCTCTTCATTTATGAATCTGCCTCTATTTTGCTTGTTAGTTCAGTTTTGCTCCTTAGATTCCACTTATGAGTGAAATCATATGGTACTTGTCTTTCTCTGACTGGCTTTTAAAAAAACCTAGACAGTTAAGAGGGTTAACTACTCATTAAACAACTAAATACCATTTCTTAAAACTTCTGGTCAAATTTAAATCATCCTTAGATTTTCCTCATTTAGAGAGTGAACCTGAAGCTATACTCTGAGTTAAAAGACTTTCTAAAGGTTCATTCCACAGTGACCTTCTAACCGTAAGCTACAGAAGTTATAAGACAGAGGATGTTGGAGGGAGCCAATGGGGGGGGGGAAGACATATGTAATACTTTCAACAATAAAGAATTATTTAAAAAACAAAGTTATAAGACTTTAATAACTACTTATAGCTTGTTTCAGGTCCATCTAGTATATTCACTGATTTGTCTATTGCTTTCAGTCAGTAGTTTATGACATTTAAAATGTTCTTTAGCCATAGCTGGTTTTGCTCAGTGGATAGAGCATTGGCTTTCGGACTGAAGGGACCCGGGTTCGATTCTGATCAAGGGCACGTACCTCGGTTGCAGACTCCTCCCTGGTCTGGGCCCTGCTCAGGGCAGTGCAGGAGGCAACCAATCGATGTGTTTCTCTCACAACGATATTTCTCTCTGTCTTTCCCTCTCCCATTCTCTCTAAAATCAATGGCAAAATAACCTCGGGTGAGGATTAAAAAAAAAAATTAAAAATAATTCCTTAAATGACTTAAGACAAATCATTATATTACTTAAACTGTTAAACTGTTCTTAGCTAAACTTATCTTATTTTTCCAGTGAACTTAAAATTATTTTGTTAAAGAGACTGACTTTATATTTCTTGAAAAATTACATTTTCTGAAGCTGTATTTAACTGGGAAATATATATTCAGGTGGACATAGCAAGTCTATAAATTATAGTTTCATGTACCATAACACATGGTTATAAGTCTCTTTAATATTATGGTAATTGGAGAGCACAGAAAGACTAGGAAGGGCTTCAGTCATTTAAGAATTTAAATGACCAAAATCTGAGTCTAAGGGTATGTAAACATACCCTTTGCTTCCTGCACACGCCCTGTGGTAATCTAAGGTAAAGGTATGTGTATAGTATATATTGTATCTACATTGATTTTTTAATTTTTTTTTTAGTTCTTTGCGTAGTATAATCAGTTATTTTTCTCTTCCTTTCCCTTCTACAACAGATTTAGGCATTTCTTCCAAGATATAATTCATTTCTCTGAGTGGCTGCTTCCTTGATTTTATATCTTTTATATTGAGGAATTATAGAAAAGAGGTCCTACAGAATGTATCAAGAAGCAGAAAAGTTTTCATTATTAAGTAAACTGAGAAAAAGCACTCATTAGTAGCCAAACTCAAGGCAGCCCACCATACCAGCAAATCCAAAGCAACAAGTACTTAATGCTATACGGGGCAAAGGCATGCAGAAGTAATGCTTAAAGCTTTCAGAGCAAGGGGTGGGGGTGGAGAAGGCCAAACACTGGAGAGAAGGAGGTTGTGAAGAGGGCTGTCAGAGTTTATGAAACATTCTTCAAATCTATCCAAAATATGAAATAAACACTTTAATCTGAACCTTTATGAACTCTGAATCCATTCTCTCCTTTTATTAAATACACAGGCATGTGCCTAGGATGTGTTCTATGGCATAACAGGAAAGGAAACATTATTTATCAAATATGCTGAAGTTTGTGCAAGAGGCAGGGTGACATATTGTTTATGTTTGAGGGGTGTACAAAAGGAAATTGGGAGTAGCAGTCAAATTAATAAGTCCTCCCAACACAGATATCCCCATCTTCTATTTTTTCCTAAAAAGCCGTTTCTTATAGTAAATTTAAAATCAGTAATTTATAACCCAGTTATCTCAGTTAGGTTAAGACACTAATTGTAACAATTTTATCCTGGCTTTAGAGTATTATTTATCTGAAAGATTTCATACTACTTGTTTAATATGGTTCTGAACCAGAAGAACCTTTTGAATACTGTCTGGCCTAAACTGAAGAAGTTGATCTTTATAATTTACACCTTTGGATGGACATGAGCTACTCTTTATCAGTGAATTCACATCTTTTGCTTTAAGAGTAAGAACTGGATTATGGGTCACTAAAATTTATGAGCAAAATCTTTCAAGAAAATATTTACAGCATATAGACCAATACTGGCAACCATCAAATACATACAGCTTTCAATCTTTTTACAGCCTCTTCACAGATGTGCATTCCTCTTGATTCATCAACTTCTACATGGCCAAGGTACTGTAAAAAGAAGAAAAAAGTTAGGGCTTTTGCTATGTTTATTGAGTAGCTCCCCATCCCCTCAATTCCAAATGTATCAAAAGAAACTGGAAACTGTCATCTGGGAAGCATTTTTCTCTGCAGCATTTGCGATCTTACTTCTGGCATGCAGAGAGTTTGCCTCAAATAAACTTATAAAAATTCTCTACATGCTAGGATATTCTCTACATTGACATGGTAAATATGCATTATATATAGTTCTAAGATGAAAGAGTATACTCTCTTTAGGGCAAATATGAATCATACAAAATCCAAGAAGATATACAATCATGTCCTGCATAGCGACCTTTCAGTCAAAGACAAACCACATATACAACAGTGCTCCAATAAGATTAAAATGGAACTGAAGAATTCCTATTGCCAAGTGACATCTAGCTGTCTTAACATCCTAATGCAACACATTACACAAATACCACTGTGTTATAATTGCCTACAGTATTCAGGGCAGAATAGACTGTATGGGTTTGCAGCCTAGCAGCTGTAGGGGAACACATTTTTGTCACCCCAGAATATCTCTCTAGCATAAGGATTATTTTAGGCTGGCAATTTTAAGAAACAGCATACAATGGAGAAGCACTGAAATCCAAGTAGAAGCTATCCTTTGTAGGACACATTTACCTTTGTAAGGGAACTCTCCATTTCGAAGGGTGTCTCCCTGCTATCCCAGGAAGAGAAGAATAAACTTATCTCTAGAAACTCTTATTAATTCTGAAGATAAAGATTTAAATCTAACAACCTTACCCATTTATAGTGTGTTTTTTTCCTCCCTTAACTGACACCCCCACCTGCAACATTTTCATTTGTCTTCAGCTGAAGATGGTATTTAAGTAGTGCTAGCTTCAGCCATTTTGGCTCAGTAAGAGATAGCGTGAGTTTTAAGACAGTTTCCACATTTAGTCATCTTTGCTTATCTCTTTTTTACTATTAAATTGGAAAAAAATTAATTTAATATTATAGGCTGTTAAAAATGTCAAGTGTTTGTGAGCCAGGATAGTAAACAGTTAGGACAATTTCTTGGCAAGTGGAATAGAGAAAGCAAGCTGATGACTGAACAAACAGGGCTGAGCAATTTACAGCAGATACAGAAGGTCACCAGGGTGGGAAAGCCCCAGGTGCCCAGCCACAGGCAAAACTGGTGCTGGATCTTCCCCCCAGGGTGGCCTTTTCTTCCATAGCTGGTCATTCGGTTCAAACCCTCCTGACCTTTCCTCCCTAGAGATAACATCTAGGCCTCAGCTGTATATCAGCTCCAGGTCAAGAAAAGCAGCAAAACCAGGACCAGTAATGACTCCCTTCCCTGGCATTGACCAATCAGTGGAGACCACAACCCTAAAAGGGCACACCTGGAAAGTGATGAATATTCTATTGAGATCTCCCCTAAGACCACCCCTAAACTCCCAGCGTTTAAAACCCTCAAGACAAAGGTCCCAGCACACTCTCCTTAGACCACGCCTTTCCCTTTCTCCTCTTCTTCCCCCATAGGCATGCATCTCCTGGAGCTGTCTCGGGCTAACCCTCTGAACCTGTTTCCAAGGCCCCTTTTTGCTGACTCTCCATGAGCTGACAGCAGCCCCACCTGGGCTAACTTCTTTCCCATTACATTTCTAGAGAGCCAAAGCAGCCCCGCCTAGGCTTCTATCCTAAGCCCTTCCTTGTTTCACTGTTCTCAGCTTTAATAAATGTACTTTCAAAATCACCTGGATTCGTGTTGTGAAATCTTTCCTGTACAAAGTCGAGAACCCACACACTACCAGTCTGCCCGAGGCAACCCTCTCTGGGCTCGGGCCCTGTCCAGTAAGATTTGGTGGCTCTGTCAACTAGTTCTAGATGGTTAAATTGAACTCACACCCAGAAATAATAGAGTACTTTGTCACTGAAGACTACTGTTTCATCAGTCAGATGCTACAGTGATAGGCATATTACACTCAAATTCTGGAAAGCTGTATTATTCGTTTAGAAGTTAGTGATGAATGAACTTTTAAATTAACTCTGGTTGGATTCAGCTTTAGAAAGTATTCCTTCATGTTCAGTTGACATGTTGCTTTTTTCAAAGCCCAATAATATATTCTTAATTTCTTGGTCCAAGGAAAAAGGAAAATCAAGTACTGGGAAAGAGTATAATCTCAGCAACTGAGCTGTTTGCATCACTGTTCTGACATTTTAAGAAATTTTGACATCTCATTCTTGGTACCTTGGCACATATTACTGTCTAGTTTTTTAAAATTTTTAATTAATCCTCACCTGAGAATATTTTTCCCATTGATTTTTAGAGAGTGGAAGGGAGGGGAGAAGAAAGAAATATCCCTATGACAGAGACACATCAATCAGTTGCTTCCCACATGTGTCCCACCAGGGATCAAACCTACAATCTAGGTATGTGTCCTTGACCAGGAATTGAACCCATCGCAGCTGTGCAGGCTGATGCTCCAACCAACTGAACAACACTGGCCAAGGCTAATTTGTTATTATTTTTAATATATATTTTTAATGGATATCAGAGAGGAAGGGAGAGGGAGAGGGAGAGGTAGAAACATCAATGAGCCCTAACCAGTTTGGCTCAGTGGATAGAGCATCAGCCTGCAGACTGAAGGTTCTCTGGTTCGATTCTGGTCAGGGGCACATGCCCAGGTTGCGGCTTGATCCCCAGTGGGGGGCTTGCAGGAGACAGTCAATCAATGATTCTCTCCCATCATTGGTGTTTCTCTCTCTCTGTCCCTCTCCCTTCCTCTATGAAACCAATAAAAAATATATATATTAAAAAAAAAACATCAATGATGAGAGAGAATCATTGATCGGCTGCCTCCTGCATAATCCCTACTGGGGATTGAGCCCACAACCTGGGCATGTACCCATCAGCTTCCAAATCCCTTCTTAATTTCTCGTTACTAGAGAGATCTGTCTTATTAAATGCTTGCTGTGCTTTAAGAGTAAAACTTAGTTTGAAAATGTATTCAGTATTTCTAGATATTTATATTGGTAGTATTTCTTTGTTAGACTACTCCACATTCTGCCAGAATCAGAAGACCCATAATATTTTCTAACTAAACTAAGTGGTTTTTTTTATCTATTGATTTTAGTATATCTTATAAGTAGCCCAAAACCCTGCAATTTCCTATCCTTTGAAACATTTTTTGGTTGATTCTCTTGAGTTTTTCATATAGACATCATCTGCAGAAACAAACACAACAAAAAATGTATTGATTTCCCACATTTACAGTTTTTATTTATTTTCTTATGCAAAGATGATTGCCAATTCTAAATATGTTGAATAAAGCAACCTCACCTTCCTCCTAAATTAAATGTAAATGTTTTCTGCATGACTCTGGGAGACTTTTTCAATCACTTAAAGAATCCTATATAATAAAAGGGTAATATGCAAATTGACCCTAACGACAGTTGCTATGACATGCACTGACCACCAGGAGGCAGACACTCAATGCAGGAGCCGCCCCCTAATGGTCAGTGCACTTCCACAGGGGGAGCGTTGCTCAGCCAGAAGCCAGCTCATGGCTGGCCAGCACAGTGGTGGTGGCAGCGGGATCCGTGGCAGCGCTAAAGATGTCTGTGGGGAGCGGGCCTAAGCCATTAGTCAGACATCCCCTAAGGGCTCCTGGGATGCCAGAGGGATATCTGACTGCCAGCTTAGGCCCGATCCCCTGGGGAGTGGGCCTAAGCCGGAAAGAACATCCCCCAAGGGGTCCTGGAGCTCGAGAAGGCACAGGCAGGGCTGAGGGACCCCCTGAGTGCATGAATTTTTGTGCACCAGACTTCTAGTATATCTCTAGTATATTATGCTATTCTTATTTTGCTAAGATGATTTATTGGGACTGGATAATAAATATCTTAACATTTTTTATTGAGATGTAATTCACATTACATAAAATTAAGCATTTTAAAGTGAATAATTCAGTGTCACTTAGTACATTCACAGTGTTGTGTAATCACCACCTTTATCTAATTCCAAAATGTTTTTTTTTCACACCAAAAGGAAAACCTGACCCATTAAGCATTTGCTTACCACTGCTTCTAGCAACCAATAACCTGCATTCTGTCTTTATGGATTTACCTATTCTGAATATTTCATGTAAATGGAATCATACAATATGTGACTTTTTGTATTCGGGCATATTTCACTAGTATACTGTTTTTGAGGTTCACCACATTCTAGTATGTATAAGTACTTGACTGCTTTTTATAGCTAAGTAATATTCCTTTGCAGTTTGCTTATCCATTCTTCCATTGAGGGACATTTGGGCTGTTTCCATTTTTTGGCTATTGTTAATAGTGGTGCTATAAACATAGTGTACCTGTATGTATTTGAGTACCTGTTTTTGATTCTTTGGGGTACATACCTTTCAGTGGAATTACTTAGTCATATGGTAATTCTGTGTTTAGCTTTCTAAGAAACCACTGAACTGCTTTCCACAGAAGCGGAATGATTTTACATTCCCACCAGCAACATATAAGGGTTCTAGTTTCTTTACATCCTTGTCAATACATTATTTTCTGTTTTTGTTTTTTAAGTATAGCCATACAACTGGGTGTGATGTGTTACTTCACTGTGGTACTGATAAGCCATTTCCCTGATAACTAATGATGTTATGTTGTTGGCCATTTGTATATCTTCTTTGGAGAAATTTCTATTCAAGTCCTTTGCCCATTTTAAAATCAGGTTCTTTTATATATTCTGGATACTAGACTCTTATCTGATTTCTAAATATTTTCTCCCATTCTGTAGTTGTCTGTTCACTCCTATGAAAACATACTTTGATGCACAAAAGTTTTTAATTTTAATGAAGTCCAGTTTATCTATTTTTTCTTTTGATGCTCATGCTTTTGGTATCATATCAAAGAATATATTGCCAGATTCAAGGTCATAAAGATTTACCCCTATGTTTTTTCTTCTAAGAGATTTATGGCAATTTTTACTTTTATATTTACGTCGTTGATCCATTTTGAGTTAATTTTTGTATATGGTGTGAGGCAGGGGGTCTAAATTCTTATTTTTCCCACGTGAAAATCCATTTTTCTCTTCCAGTTTGTTGAAGAGACTACTCTTTCCCATTGAATGGGCTTGGTACTCTTTTAAAAAACCAATTGGCCATAGACATATAGGTTTATTTCTGTACTTTTAATTCTATTTTCATTGTTCTATATCAGTGATGGTGAACCTATGACACGCGTGTCAGAGGTGACATGCAAACTAATTTTTTGGTTGATTTTCCTTTGTTAAATGGCATTTAAATATATCAAATAAATATCAAAAATATAAGTCTCTGTTTTACTATGGTTGCAAATATCATCAAAAAATTATATGTGACACAGCACCAGAGTTAAGTTAGGGTTTTTCAAAATGCTGACACGCCGAGCTCAAAAGGTTCACCATCACTGTTCTATATACATCATTCCTTATGCCAGAATTACAATGTTTTGATTACTATAGCTTTGTACCAAGCATTGAGATGAAGAAGTGTGAGTTCTTTAACTCTGCTTGCCTAAAAGAGATATCTACGTGAGAAAATTGTGACAAAGGTACACAAAGAAAACATTCGATCTATAATAAAAGCATAATATGCAAATTGACCAAACAACCAAACAGCAGAACGACTGTCTGGACGACCACACTATGACACACACTGGAGCCAGGCCAGCCAAGGCGGGTGCAATGCGATTGGTCGGGGGGGCCCCGCCATCGCACCACGATCACCCCGCTGAGGGAGGCCCAGGCCACCCTCTGCAGGGAGATTGATGGGGGGGCTCTGCAATCGACTGCCCCAAAGAGGGAGGCCCTGGCCACCAGCCGACAGGGCGATCAATGGGGAAGGGGGCCTCCCTCTGCTGGGTGATCGATCTGGGGGCCCCGTGATCAATCACCCCACAGAGGGAGGCCCAGGCCAGCCAAGTGATCGCACCCCACTCCTGTCACCCACAGAGGGAGGTGACCAGTGGCAGGGGACAGCGCCGCACAGATGGCAAGCAGTGGCAGCGGTGGGGGCGGGGACAGCTGCCGGGGGAAGGAAAGCCCCGATAGGCCCTGATCGCCGGCCAGGCCTAGGACCCTACCCAAGGGGTCCCAAATTGTGAGAGGGCACAGGCCGGGCTGAGGGACACCCCCCCATGCACAAATTTTGTGCGCTGGGCCTCTAGTCTATATATATAAAAGCCTACTGACCAGTAACTATGAAGCACATCGACCACCAGGGGGAATGCAGGAGCTGCCAAGCTGTGGTGACTTTGCAGCTGTGTTTCTCAGGTGACACACCCAGAACCAGAGAGGAGAGAGTCCGATCCCAGGGTGCCTCACCTGAGAACTGCCCTCTTGCAATCTGGGACCCCTCGGGGGACACTGGAGAGCTGGTTTCGGCCTGATCCCCGCAGGCCAGGCCGAGGGACCCCACCAGTGCATGAATCCATGCACTGGGCCTCTAGTTTAAATATAAAGAGAAAAATTACTAATTTTAACCTGTTTTATTAAATCTATCACTGAAACAGAATATGAAGATACTAGAAGCCCCATGCACGAAATTAGTGCACCGGAGGGGGGGGGTGTGTCCCCCCCAGCCTGGCCTGTGCCCTCTCACAGTGCAGGAGCCCCACAATCAATCACCCCAAAGAGGTAGGCCTTGATGGATTGCCTGAGCCACGGGACCTCGGCCTCGCCACGGGACCCCCGGCCTCGCCACGGAACCGTGGGACCCACCTTCACGCTGCGCATGCAGCATCAAGCCCCCATCCACCCGTGCACGCCCGCAGCCTCCTGGTGATCGCTCGTTACGGTGTGAGGGCGACATGACCACATAGGTTTTTATTAATAGGATTAGTTTTATGAGACTTTTCTTTTAACTTTCCTAATTAATGGTACTTCACATATAATAAACTGCCCATTCTTTTTTACACATACATTTATAGAAACGTGATCTTTTACCTTAACTGGGAAGCTACATTTTCCGGTACGAACCCCTTCTTCATCTGTTTGCCACTGATGTGGACGACTGGCCTCTGGAATATAAACATCTTTCTTTCTCCTAAAACTTTGCCGTAGTTTGTTCATTTTAATTTTTACAACCTGCAGACAGAGTTAAAGAAATATGAAAAAGTAATTATTACCTTCTCACATATTTAAATTTTGGTTTACAATATTAATGAAAAACTAATGTATCAAAGTAAAGATTTTGGTTTGGGGGGAAATGAGCAATTAGTATACTTCCTCTAATACTAAGCTCAAACAAATCATTTCACATTTTGAAGACAATTAGAATACTAGTCTCGTAAAACAACAGTAACCTTTTACGATTTGCACAGATGTTATTCTGAGACTTTAATTATAATAATTCAATGAGTATATCCCTATTGATCTACCTCTCAAATCCATTCTCACGCCTAAAAATGAAAATTTGTACATGTAGGCCAAACTATACACTGTTAAAAATTTCTGAAAACTTTCATACTTCTTAGGAAAAAAATTCAGTATGAAACATTGAAATCTGGGGACCTTTTTGGCTTATTATTGAAGACAGTAAGCAAAGCAGGGACTACAGTCACCATTTTATAAAAGGGTGTTTTACAAAAAGGAATAAAATAAAGTTTCTTTTAAACGTGTTTAAAGGAAAAGTTCTACTAGGATAAAATTATTCTAAAGAAGAAATTTCTTACAAGCAATATGACATCAGAATGTACTTTCATATCTATAGTCATTACAGATATGAAAGAAGTCCAAGAGAATCACTCATCAACTGCTTCCTCACACCTCCTACTGGGGATTGAGCACGAGTTAATGAAGTAGCACAAGTCTCATCATTAACTCTGTAAATTAAAAAGTATTAAACTATAGTCAGTTTTTTGTTTTGTTATTGAAAGAGGCACTTCTCTACTGCTTTCAAAGGTGCAGCAGAAATCACAAAACTATAGAGAAGGAAGACCTAACTGATAAGAAATAACAGAACATTCAAGAACCAATGAATAAACATAATGAGTAAGTGTCCCTTTACAGAGCAAATCTCAAAATCTAAAATCAATACCTCTAGCCCTAGCTGGTTTGGCTCAATGGATAGAGTGTCAGCCTGCGGACTGAAGGGTCTTGGGTTCGATTTCGGTCAAGGGCATGTGCTTGGGTTGCAGGCTCGATCCCCAGTGTGGGGATTGCAGGAGACAGCCAATCAATGATTCTCTCTCATCATTGATGTTTCTATCTCTCTCTCCCTCTCCTTTCCTCTCTGAAATCAGTAAAAATATTTTTAATTAAATAAATAAAATAAAATAAATACCTCCAATTTTTTGTTAAGTTGCAGTGCTCATTATTTTAGGTACCTCACAGCCTAAAAGAAATCTAGACTTGAGAAAATGTGTGACAAAGCTACATAAAGGAAACATCCTCTTTGTCAGGAGTGTTAAACAGCAAGAGATTAAACATTGATTGCCACGTGACACCACTGAAAGACTTGAAAATCAAAGTTTGCATTCTGAGGAAAGTCATTTTGTATTTTAAAATGCATAATGACACAACAGAACTATTATCAAATTAGCTACTTTACACAGACAAGTCAATCTTCCCACATATCTTCTCAAAAGGTAAAAAGTCTGACAGACAAATGGCAATGTAAAAAATCTCTGGATTTTCTAAAAAATAAGCTTATTATTTCAATTCAAAACTGATTTACAGAGCATAGGAGGTAGATGTTAAATAATCAAAGGGCTGGACAAAAGGTAGTCTAATACTCTGCCTTGAAGTAGATCACTCCTTCCTAAACTAAGCTAAATGAGAGTCCACCTTAATCTAACAGACTTCCAAAAAGAATTACATAAGCTTCCTTGATTATACATACTGTTACACTCTTTCATATCACATTTAAAAAATATACACAAATACCAGAAAATGAAAAACACCTATACCCCTTGCTCAAATTGGCACTCTAAGAATCTTTTGACCAAGTGAATCCTTTCTACTTAATTTTTTTCTCTTAACAAATAGACCACCCTCCTACCGAGTTAGTTAGGCCAGACACCTAAGAGTCATCACTGCAATTACCCTTTCTCTGACCAGTGACTCCACTGATTTTGCCTCCTTAGTATATCTTTAATTCATTCCCCAACCACCACCACGAGTTCTACTAGCCTTAGATATTTTTGCTTAAATTATTTCAAAAGCCTTTCACTTAATGGTCTTTTTGCTTCCAAGAGAAGTCCATTCCACTCTGTTCTCCTGACTACTGCCAGAGTGCTTTCTAAAACACAAATCTGACCACGCAATTACACTGATTAAAATTTCAATTGCTTCACTTCACTTTCAAGCCCAAATTCCTAAGCAGGGCAAACACAGTCCTTTTCATTTGGTTTCACTCACCAATCTTTTCACCAGTCCCCATTCACATGCTAAGCTCCAGCCATACTAAACTACAATTCTCCAAACAAGACAGGCCCTCTTTCAGAACGTCTGTATATGTTCCTCCCCGTGCCTAGAAAGACCTTCTCCTGTTTGCCTCTGGTTAAAGTCTATTCATCATCTTTTAGTAAGTCAGTTCAGGAGTCTTCAAGGAAGCTAGCATTTTTTTCTGACAAGCCCCTACCTGGCCTGGGTTAGGTCCTTCCATTTCATATGACTCCCGTTAACACCTACAGCTTACTTCTATGACTGTACTCATCAAAACTTTTAGCAACTTTCTATTTCCTTAAGAGTAGACTATATTTTGTTTAAATAGTACCCCTACTTCCTAACACAGTGCCTGTCACATATATGACAAAAAGTAGTTCAATCCTCTGCCTTTATGTAGATCACTCATTCTGTACTATAAATTTGAAGAAACTAAAAGATAAAATAGACCCCCATCATATTAGACTAGGGGCCCGGTGCACAAAGATTCGTGCACTGGGGGTGGGTCCCTCAGCCCGACCTGCACCCTCTCCAATCTGGGAGCCCTCAAGGGAGCCCTCTCCAATCCGGGAGTTTCTGTCTGTCTTTGCAATCATATGAGTGAATTGTCTGAGACCCCAACCCAATTTGGTTTGTTGCTCACAGAATAATAGAGGCTTTTTTTTTTCTTTGCTTCATTGGTGGAGATTTCCTGAAAGTTTTAGGATATCTTCCCTTTAATTTTTCCTAGGCACTCTGATTTTACTTATGTCTCTCACCTTTGCTTTCCCTCCATCCCCCACCACAACAGTAACTTGCTCCAGGCTCACTTTGCTCTAGTGCAGTGGTTCTCAACCTTGGCTGCACATTAGAATCACCTGGGAATCTTTTTTTTTATTTTATTTTATTTATTTATTTTTTCAGGAGAACTCGTGATATTTATTTGATTGGAATTAACCCCCCGAGTTTCCAAGGTTCCATTTCCCTCCATCAAGCCAAGGAAAAAGTCCCCTTTTGAAATAGGAATTTTTAGGGGTGAAAAAAGCAGGTTTAGAAAAATTAAGGAGGTCCATGTAAGAAACACAGGGCTACAGAGTTACAAAGGTTACATTTCCATAAGACAAGGAAACCAGGAGTAGCAAAAGGCCTATATTTACAAACTAAGAAGGAGGGCCTCACATGTCCCCTATGAGGTTTGACTTTTGAGCTCAGGAGTTGCTATAGTGACCAAATCAAAAGGGGGATAGTGGCTAATCAGAGGGGATATCAGGACACAGGGACTTGCAGCCTTTATAAAATGTGGAAGAAGGGACTGGGTGGGACTCTTTTCCCCTCCCCATGTGGGAGTCTGTGCCTGTTCTTCAATAAATTCCCACCTTTGCTATACCATCTTCCTTCCATCTGTGGTTTCATTCTTTGACTCGGACGGACAAAGAATCCAGGGGAACACCACATGTTCCAGTCCCAAAATCTCATATCACTTTTGTCTTCAGCAGAGCTAGGGTTAAAGCCGTTGCTCAGAGTTTCTGCTTCATACTTGCACAGTCCTGTCCAGCATCTGGCTAGGTTAGCTTGTGTTAAGAATCACTTGGGAATCTTTTTAAAATCCTGATTTCTGGGCCTCATCCTCCGGAAATTCTGTTTCTTTGTTATGGGGTGGGGCCACAACATTAGTAACAAAGAAACAGAATTTCTGGAGGATGAGCCCCAGA